AAACATTGTAATGTCAAACATTACATTATAATTTAATTGTACACATTGTAGGGAATGTACTTTCACTTTTTTCATACCAAACACTACCTTAATATTTCAAAGGATACATCATACATGGTATATATAATGTTCATTTAGCAAAATCAAAGAAAAGATCATGAGTTAAGCAAAAAAAAAATGTTAACTTAGTTAGTAACCGACTTAAATTAGAGTTAAGTTTAGAGTCTTTTATATTTAGGTCCAAAAAGCCATTTTGAACAATATAATACAATGTCAAACAACCTTAAAATTTTCAATTCCCACTTAAATTTGAGTTTAAAAACTGTGATTTTTCATGTCAATGAGATTGAAAATTCAAAATTATTAGGAAAAGACTTTAAAGTTTGTATTAATGTCACTTTTCTTTAAAGTTTTGTTCACTTTCATTGTGATTGTACAAAAAAATTATAAGCGATAAATTTAGAGAATTCAATGATGGATTGTGTTTTATATTAACGAAATCAATCCATCGTGTATTCACTATCACATGACACAAAAATTATTAAACTCTTATAAAGTTTTTTTATAGTAAAATAATATTGAAATAATAACTTGTTGTATAAATACAATTATTTGAATAAATATAATTATTTGAATAAAAATAATAATTCAAAGGATTTTTTTATTTTTATTTTTTCGATGTGCGATTATATATCACGTTATTATTGTTGAAGATATCCAACATATAGTAAGTTTTTCAAACTATAGTTTTCTCATCCAATCACACGGCCAACACTAAGTTTAAATGAACATATTTTCAAAATGTAAAATTATGATGTTATTCGGATTTGTTAGGTACACAGAAATTAATATATATCATGAACACAAAAGTGATTTTAATACTACAAAATATATATTAGATTAATAACCATAGCAATAAAATTTTAAAAAAATGTTGTTCAGTTTACTCAAATAACTTTTCAGCATAATCTCTTATGCTATACTAGTTTTTAAGCATTTCATACAACTATGAGGCTAAATCTTACATGGATAATAAAAAAGTTTATGGCTGCTTGTTGATTTATTTATTCACATTTAATTAGAGGAATAGGTAATATTTAATTTTCCAGAAGCTGCTATATATTTAATTTATTAAAATGCTATTGCTATGTTCTCTTGAATGCTCCAAGATTGTTTTTTTTTTTTGGTTTATATTATAATGCCTTGAAACATAAATCAAAGTCATTTTGAGACCATCGCACTGTATCATGTTAATCACCCTGGTAGACCATATTGAACTTTATGGTCTTTGAGATATTTTACAATGACCTCAGTATGTCATTTTTTGAGAGATCTTGCTAGTTCAAATTCAAATTATAGCTCAGGAAAATGGCACTTAGCATGGAAGTGGGAGGGGCCTGAGAGAATTCGGATGTTTATTCTTCAATGCTTACATAATCGACTTCTGACAAATGAAGAAAGGTGTCGTAGACTTCTTTATGTTTGCAATGTGGTGCCGAAGAGGAGACATTATTCATTTACTTAGGGATTGCCCTAAAGCTATTGCAACATGGCCGCAATTCTTACCGCTAAGTGCGTATCCCATGTTCTTTGATCTTTCTACTGTCCAGTCGTTTTTGGCTAATTTAGGTAAAGCTAATGTGAATGATAACTCTGTTCATTGGAATATTATATTTGGGACTACCTGTTGGTTCCTTTGGAAATGGAGGAACACATACATTTTTGAGAACACAGAAATTCCTATTGAACGATGATTGTCAATGGTATACAGCATGGTCTCAACTTTGCAAAATGTTGAAGTGGCAAACATTGAGAATGAGGGACGCTCATCCAATTCTCAACAAGAAATTTTGGCTGATTGGAAAGCTCTTTCCCCTGGTTGGATTTTATTAAATTCGAACCGTGCTTATAGGAAATTGATCTGACAAGTGGTAGCTGGTGGCATTTTAAGCGATTCAGCTGGTTAATGGAAGAGTGGATATGCAATGAGACTTTGGCTTTCAAAAAATAGACTTACAGATCAACAAAAGGCTAATTGTTCTAGCACATTCTTCTCAAAAAGATCATTCATGTGCAAATTCAAATTTGTTCAAATTATTCAACGTTGGATTCAAAGACACTTGGAGGTTTAAATTCGTCATTTGTTTTGAAACGGAAATATTGTAGTAGACTATATGACTAATGAGGGATTTCCTATTTCTGAAAACTTTTTAGGTAGTGTTCGATATTAGGAAAGTGAAAACACATTTCTTATAATGTGTCTAATTAAATTACATTACACTATTTATTTTGCAACAAACTACTGTAATGTAAGATGTGATTGTAGTCTAAAACCAATACAATCATATTATATTACACTCTGCAATGTTATTAAAGATATTTTTATCTTTCAATTTTATTACTTTGTTAAAAATATTATGTAATGTTATAATTAAAATATAAAATATAAGAATTAGAAATTAAAACAAAGTAAAATATAAGAAATTAATATGCAATGATTAATATAAAAAATTATATTAAAGAAATGAAAATAAAATATATAAGATTATAATAAGAAATAAAAATAAAATATATGACATTAAAAATATATTTAAAAAGTAATATTATATAAAAATTAATAATAAAAATATAATTATATTAAACTTACATTTTAATAAATAAGAGTAATTTTAAAAATTAATATTATATTTCTAATAAAATACTTATACTTACATATCAAATATTGTAATGTTATTTTTTTTATAATCACATTACTTGCAATCACGTTACCTGTAATCACATTACATTATAAATTACCAAACGTCGCTTTAGTTTTTTGTAATCCTCCATAGAAGGGTTAGAAGTTTATTATTGAATGATGTAAAAAGAGTTTCTTTTACCAAATTGAGGAGGCAATAAAAATTTATTCTTTTCCTAAAAAAATATTTTTAGTAAAATTAAACAATAAAGTTTAATTTATTTTTGATTTTGATAAATTAATAAGAATTTATTTAGATTTTATTGAATAGTTTAAGGGTTTTTTTTTAATATTCTGCCATAACTGTATTATGATTGGGTACTGCTGATATCATATTTCAATTTCTAAGTTCACCAATCACGGTTAACTGTGGACTGACGCAGCTAATCAGATCAGATACAAATCGCCTTACCTGTGTTCGAACCAATATATATTCAAAAATAATTTTTCACCCGGAAATTTTCCAACTTCGTTATTCAATTTTCCCGCCCCCTCATTTTCGTGGCAAAACTTTACCGGTAAGTACTCGTCTGATCTCCCACAGAACCCCCGACAATCCACAAAAAATAATAATAATAATTGGGGATTTTTTTTTTCTCTTCTGTTGAACGAACCAACTGTTATTATTATTATCCTTTCGATTTAAGTCTTCTTAGTTTTTTATATATTGGTTGTTAAATTATTTTGTTAATTAGGATTAACAAATAATTTTCTCTGTTATACCTTTTTTCACAGTTTTGATTCGGAAAATGAAAGTTTGCATAACTCAGTTTCTCACAAGATTTCTCTTCTTTTCGGTATTGATAATTTTCAGGTAAATCGTTTTAGTTAATTCGTTGAAGAAAATTGATATATGTATGATATTTATTGAATTATATGCTATTTTAATTTATTCTAATGCTTGATTTATTAACAAAATATGGTAGGTGTTGTTCGAGTAATGGAAGTGGTGAGAAGGAGAGAACATTAGGTATAATAAAGCCAGATGGAGTATCTGGTAATTATACTGATAGGATAAGAAAAGTTATTCTGGAATCTGGTTTCCACATCAATAAGGAAATGATAATTCAGCTTGATGAAGACAATGCAGCAGATTTTTACGCTGAGCACTCTTCCAAGAGCTTCTTTACTAGTCTTATTAAATACATGACTAGGTTATTACTTTTGTCTTGATAACTTCATGCTGTCTTTTAGTTACCCAGAGTTTGCCTTAGGTTTTGCCTATTTTTGTTCTTTCATAGACAAAGCAATGCATGTATTTTCACACTTTCATATTGTCAATACCTTAATCCAATTGGCTATGTTGAAAATATATCTCAATGATATTGTGCTTTTTCGATGATCAATTCTCTATGCATTTTCAATTTGGTACAACAGAAAGAATGAAGAAGAGGCAGAGATTTTCAGCATGTGAAAAAGCAAATTATTTGTTAAATACTCCTTTTCATGATTATTTCACTTGATTATTTGAATTATCAAGCCTAATTAGAGCCGGCTTTTGTTGTGTTGAACTTTTGGTGCTATAATTTTTTTTCTGTTTTTCAGCTGCGGATCAAAGAGAAGTGTCGATGCAGCATTTGTTTAAATCTTGTCTCAAATTTGAATATGTTGCCAATTGTTAATCTCATATCTTTTGAATTGCGTTTTGATTAACTACATATCATATCAATATGCAAATTGGGGTAGCATGAAACTCAGTTGCTACATCACAAGTGTTTCTAGCTCTCTCTCTCACTGACATTTCGCTTTTGACAGTGGTCCGGTGTTGGTTATGATTTTGGAAAAGGAAGATGCTGTTGCTCATTGGCGACATTTGATTGGACCCACTGATGCGGGCAAGGCCAAAATTACTCATCCTCAAAGGTTACGCATGTTTCTTGTTGATCTCATACTTTGTGCTTCTATTCCTCTTCTCTGTGGTTTTTCTTGTATGATCTACTTAAGTTGAAAAATTGGACGCATGCAGAAACAAAGATTAGTTGTCCTCCCATTACCTCACAAGATTTAGGTCCCTGCCAACTTTGAATTAGATATTCTTTCCATATCTTAATCCTAGAAGAAATTTGATTGTTTGATGACATGACTCATAAGTTATCAGCATTTTATGTTGGTTGTTTCTTCTGTTTCCAGCATCAGAGCAATGTGCGGGGTAGATTTGGAAAAGAACTGTGTTCATGGTTCGGATTCCCACCAATCGGCTCAAAGGGAGATTGCATTTTTCTTCAAAGAGACACCTCCAGGTCAGCTCTTGTTCCCCTTTTCAGTCAATGGAAATATAACTTAGACCATGCAAATCAATGATATACAGAGATGGGATGATATGTAATGAGTACAGAGTGAGCAAATATAACCTAGTTTCCATTGTGACTTCATTTCCTTATTAGAAAAGAAAAAGTCATCTGAATGCATGTTTTCTAAACAAGGGCTTTATATTTACTTTCATTTTCATATTTGAGCTTTCCCAGATGAGGCAGTCAGAAAGCACGATGAACTGTAACTGGCAAGTGCTCAAAGCTGAAGCTATATGATGGTTAAGCTTATTGTTAGAAGTTTGTACTATAGACTTCTCTCTCTTTTTGTCTTTTGTTCTGCGAGTGGGGCAGGGGTGGGGTTGGTTTCAATGCCTGCACTACAACAAGGATAGCCTGTCCTCTTCTCATAAACCATTTATCACTGGTGAAGGCAGAATGCTATACAAACCTCTTCTCTTTGCTTCAACTGTCTTAAAATGGAGTAATTTGAGGTTTATCAACAACATTAGTAGCATCAAGTGTCCTACAATTGTTCATATCCCTTTATGGCTTGCCCATGGCATCTTTCCAACGTGTTTCTCATCTTTTACCATTTACAAGTTCATTGTCTTGGGTTGTTATGTGATTTGATAGGTTTGTAGGGTTCATATATGCCAGGTGATCTAATGTGGGATTTTGTACAATGGATGACTTGTTGCTTGCCCTCCAAAAATGATTGTATGCAGTTTGAAGGAAATGCTATAATGTCATAGATAAAGGGGAGTACGATTCTATGAAGAATATAAATTACAGTATCTATTTTGTGAGATTTTAACAATTAATTCTAGCCATTCATCTTGTTATGGCATCATAGAAAAACCTGCACTATGGACATTGGAGACACTTTACGTACTCCATTTGGCTTAGATTGTAAGAATTTTACAGTATTAGATTACATGCTCTCTATTGTAGCTGGAAATCGGTTTAGTTTCTAACTGTAGCAACACTGGACAGCTAATTTTTCTGAGTGGATGTTACAGTATGTATATTTTCCTTTAAGAGCAAATCAAACATTTTTCTGATATCCTCTCAAGCAACCAAATAGAGAGTGAAGCTTCTGAAATATTTACTAAAATTATTATAAGACAGAAAGTTGGGCTGGGAAGGGACTAAAAGAAAAGAGAAACTGCAGGAAGCCAAGCAATAAGCAGGGAGGCAGATCTGAGTGTAGGGTAGCTGCATGTTAAGCCAAGTAAGAAGTCATCTGAATGAGGTGATCCCAATCCCAGTGAGGCATACGCCCCTTGTGCTCCTTTGGAAGCTTGGTCATGCAAAGATGTTTGCATAAACCAAGATGTGCCATGAGAAGGGCCACATGAGTGAGCAGCTCTCCTCCCTGCGCAAGCTGGTATGCATGTTCTTTCCAGTCAGAGTCATATGCCGCAGAAAACAGCATCTCTAACCACACACAGCAAATTATTTCCCATTGCTCTTCAGGATTCCACCTTGCATCCACAGTGAAAGAATGCAATTGCTTCGCAAGTTAACACCCTTTACTGATTTCCCACCTTCACCTTCCCCCTCCGAGAGGAAAGTTTGAGATTCAATATTGTCAAGGTCAAGCAATGTCGGGGCAACTTCAGCCAAGTCTGGCTATCTATTTTCATTTGCCAACCAAAAAAGTCCAAAGCTTCCAAGCAGGTAACTCTGTACCTTAGCTGACCAATGCCTCTGCGAAGCATAAACGAACGCATGACAAGGAGGTGCATCATGTAATCAGATAATTTCTTACTAATTTGGATGTTATTTCTGCCACAACTGCTCGGATATCTTCTTTTATGATAATGGAAAAGAATATCAGTAGCAATATGCCAAAGGAGGAGGTTGTGGGTAAATTCTACCTTGGTTAAGCTCCAGTGAAGATTTTCATAGATTTCAATTCCTTTATCTTTTAGCACGTCCGAGCTCCTTTCTGTACTAAATTTGAGAGACATGAGAATTTGAACTTTCATTTTTCATATTTTTCACGTTTTTGTTGGAGACGAGAGAGAATGAGTTCCTTTAAACCACCATCCACAAGGGCCCAAGTAGGACTCACATCCACCCAAGCATACTTCTGGATGTCCCAGAACACCTTTAGAATCCTTTTGGCGTCGACTAGCTTCTTGATGGCTGCATTAAACTTGTTTACCTTGGCCTTAAGGCAATAATTTAAGAGGCTGTGCTGTGCCATGTATTCTACTCCCTGGCCCTGCATCGACATTTTTAACTCCAAACAATAAGCAATATATGGATGGACACACCTAGGGAGGAGCCGCCAGGTGCTGGGAGTGGTCAACCACTGCATTGTCCAATTGGATAGTATATGTGAAATGACTGCAGTGCCATCCGCCAAAAATGCTCCAACCAGCAGCATGTAAGTTAAGACAATTTCGGCTAAAAGGTGATAATGCTTGTGAGTATAAGCACATGAGAAGGCCAATAATGCTCCAGTAGAAGACAAGAAGTATATGAAGCGAAGGATGAACCCTAGCTGAATATGATATATAATAGTCTTGGGGTAAGGAACGTCGAACAATAAATTTAGTTCGGAGTCTACCATTTTGAAGGCCTCTTTTGCTGACATATTTTTATTCAGGCTGAAGATGTCACTCAACGTTTTGTAAATCCTGAGATTGATATCTGAAAAGACTGGCATGCACATCATAAATGATAGATATGCTCGATGGAGATGCCTAGCTTGTGGAATTATGGGTTTCCGGTCTAAATGATCATCCAGCTGCTTATACTACTGCTCACTTTGCCCTTCCGGTTTGGGTCTAAACTTGCTAGGGGGAACTCCTAATAATGTGGAAATTGTAAAATGTTTAAAACCTGAGAACCTGAGAATCCAAAGCCGTTCCACGCACTTGATAAACCCGGCTATAAATATAGGAATGGCTATGTGAGCCAAGGTGTTATCATTTCCCCGTTCGAACCTCCCAAAGATGTAACAAGCTATCCCGAACTGGATGATCAGGCCTAACGTGTATAATCGCAACAATTTCTTTTCGTCGAAAAAATTAGCAGCAATGGTTTCGGTGCTGCCAAGGTGCGACAGTAGGAAGGGAGCCCAAAAAACTTGGGAGTGCATTGACTCTCCCAGATGATTGGCGCTTCAGGAGGGTAGTTAAAGCAGTAGTTGCCGCCAAGTCTCCAGCGAAGTATCCTGCACGAGTCACTAAGGCAACCCAAGTTTTGCCTCTTCTATTCTTTATTACATATCCAAATGCGATAAGGACGATATTTAGAGTCAGGCTAAGTAGAACCAGTACATATAGTTGCACTCTGCTCCAACTTTCCTTAACTTCCGGCGAACCCCAGCTGTGCGCGGTCGCCCTTGCAGCTATCCTACTGGCCTCCGTCAAAATTATGGCTAAAACAACTGAAAATTCATTTTAATTATATCTATTTTCAGAATTTAAAGCATCAGTGTTAATATATTGACTTTGTCACAGGCATATATATATATGATGGAAAACTATAACAACAGTTTTTGATAAAACCTTTCTAGTTAGCTTATTCTCTACATGTTTTAAATAATGGGTTTTCTTCTAATAAGATGACTATGGATTCTTATTTTCAAATCGTATGTAAAATACAAAAAAATTTTAAAATAATAAAAAATTAAATAAATAATTTTTGGCTGTTTTCATTTTGACGTGCAGTTTAACCATCAAATCATATCAATGAATTATGAAGTTACTTTTAAGTTTAGTTAATTAGCCAATATCTTATAATTTGTTGATGAATACCGATATGGTTTACATAATATATAATTCTATATAAGTTTATAGAAATTCTCTTTTAAAAAATACTAATTAAATGAAAATTTAAATATTTAACATCTAAATCTTTTTGTTTTAAACAAATTAGACACTTGCTGATTTACAAACATTTTGGCAACCTCCACATCGTAACATAAATCTAATGGTAATTTTAATTAGTTTATATTATGATAAATTGTGAGTCTACACAGTTTTGCAATTCCATGAAACATACCAATATTTATGATTAAACTGTTCATGGGTCGGATTAGGTTACGCTTATTGGACCTCTCTTTCTTAAAATCAAAATCGAGCTTGACCTAGCTCGCCTATTTAACTATTATTATTTTATTATTAAAATAATACTTTATATTTTAATTAAAATTAAAATTTCCTAAAAATATAATATTTGTTGATAAAATAAATTAATAAAGTTGGGCTTCAACCTAAAACTATGCTCAAGCTCAGTTCATCAGGGGCCATGCCCACCGTATCTGTAGACACCGTTGCTTATTGTCTTTTCGAATAAGCATTTATCATTCATATAGATTTTAAAAACTTCCCATGGGAGATGACAAGTTATATGTTATTCTTAATTTGACAGTATATTATGAAATTCCTATTGATGATATATTAAATATAAATTCTTTTTTTATCACCACTACTCAATTTAACTAAAGCTTGATGTGCTCAAGGACGTAATGAATTAAATAGGATACATGGTGAAGTTTTTAAAATGGATAAGTTAGACGGTCACTGCATATATATTTAAAAAAATTAATAAATTAATCTACATGAGTAGCAATGTTAGAAAATTTTTAGATTAACGAAAATGAATATTTTTTATCTATTATAGATATCAATAAAATTTACCCAATTTGTAAATTAGAATCTAATTGCATTAAATGATTACTATTTGTAAATAAAAATTTTAATTGCATTGAATGATTTTTATAAAAAATTAAAAATTAAATATTGTTATTAATATTAAAATTTTAATTTAATTTTTAAATTTAGAATATTAGTTTTCATAATTTATATTAAAATTTTAGTTTAATTTAGAGAAAGAAGGAGATGGGTAGAGAGAGAAAGAAAATGTGAAAATGAACAAATTACATCTTATCTAAAAGGATAATTTTTAAATTAATGAAGAGTAATTTTGTACGATTGTATTTTTTTGTCTATTCCCTCCGATATGTAATGGCTATTACCAAACCATTCTTCAGGACAGTCGTTTCATGAACCGAATGCTAGGAACAGAGGAACGGTTATTCCATTCCTCCAACCAAACATGGTATTAGAGTTTAAAAACTTCAAGGAACAGTGTATAATAAATTGCATATTCAAATATAAGGGTGAGATTATTTGTTTAAATTTTAAAATGATCTGTCCTTAAAATTATTAAAAGAAAAAAGAAACGTACTTTTGGTCAGCATCACAGGCTAGTCGCTGTTGACCGAAATGAGTGTTGGCAAGGAGCTAGAAAACCAATTGCGAATGTAATTCAGTTTTGTGATGGCGATGAATGCAAAGGCAGGCTAGGGTGGAAAATGATTTTTACAGTGGAAAAATGGGATTCTTTTTCTTCAATTCTTTTGCCTTAGTGTAAATTACACTGCTCTATAAAAGCTCACGCAAAACACGAGAGATATACAAATGCCAAATTATTGTGAAGGGATTACCCTTTAGCTTTCAGACAATCAACTCCTTGGCTTGCCTCCCACTTTTAAGGATGGAATGGAGTAAAATACAGCAATGTCGTACGTCGATAACTTGTTACCAGTGAATGGCATATATGATAGGACGTAGTAGCAGCAAAGCTAGGAATAGATGCAAAGAAGAGAAACATGGATTTTACGCAAACAGAATGGAAGTGTGAAGGCAAATTAACTTCCATAAAAGTGTAATTAGAGAGCCCGACCGGATCAATTCCACATCTTGAGAATTTTTGAAGTTTATTATTATTTTTTTTGAAAGGCTGAAAGTCATTCATTTCATCTCATTCAACAACTTTACAGATATAGAAGGTTAAACGACTCCCTATCCTCATTCAAAACCAAATCTGCACGCACACAAAAACAACCTGTAGACACATGCCCTGAATGCCCATGGACAACAACCCCAATCAAAAGGCAAACAGACCTTAGCC